CTGCATGAATGTCACCAGTTACGCTGCATTTCAGTTGGCAGGGAGGGGACTGCAAACCCCCCAGGGCAGGACCACTGGATCCAGTATCTCAGGCAAATGCAGTTCTAACTCTCCAGGACCGGCTGGGGATGTTTCTGGAAACACTACTACTAGGTATTCATGAAGGGACAGGAAAATTAATCTGGGCTCCAGCAGCCACCAGGAATGTCTCCTTTGTCACATGCTGCAAGATCTTCTTCATAATAACCTTTCAGGGCCATTTGGTGGCAGAGCACATTCCCCGCTCTGTCTTCCCACATTCACCTTATATTTAACTGGAAATGTGGCTTCCCAGCTGGGGCCTCACCTTATTCTCCAGCCTCAGAAAAACACCTTGGCAGTTTTGAAAAATCATATACACCCTAAGGACAAACATGTGTCTCTGGTGAGGATGCTCGGAGCTGTGCTGCAGGCCGGGAAGGCGATCCCCACAGAGGATGCCAGGGGACCAGGCACCTGCAGCAGCTGCTGTCAGTGCTCCTGTGAAGGAGACGGTTGTGTGGAACAGGTTCACTGTACTTGAAACAAGAGAGACCCAAGGTCACCCTTAAAAGCGCTCACTGACCACCTCTGCACCTCCCCACAGGGTTGTTTCATCCCAGCCCAGCCTCTCTGGGGAGATGGTGCCCTACTTCCTACTCCTGTCCCCTCAGCTGCTTCTCAACAGCCTGTCTCCCTCCCTGCCCCTCTCTCCCTCCTGCAGTGAGAGGCCCCTCCCTCTCCCTGACTCTGCACACCCGCCTCCATCATCTTCCTTCTCCTCCTCTGTCTCTCTCAGTCTTCTGTCCATTTCTCTACTCCCTGCTCCACTCTCAGTTTCTCTCCCTCTGGTCTCAGTCGGGGCTCTGCCATTTGTCTCCATCTCAGTCTTTCTCTAACTCACATCTTTTATTTATTTATTCATTCATTCATTCATTTAAACATTTTTAAAGGTTTATTTATTTCTGAGAGAGAGAGAGCGCGAGCATGAGCAAGAGAGGGTCAGAGGGAAAGTGAGACAAAGAATCTGAAGCAGGCTCTAGGCTCTGAGCTAGCTGTCAGCACAGAGCCTGACGTGGGGCTCAAAACCACGAACCATGAGATCATGACCTGAGCCAAAGTTGGACACTCTACCGACAGAACCACCCAGGCGCTCCTCTAACTCACATCTTGTTCCTGTTCTCTTGCATCCACCCCCTGGGCCCAGAGCAGTCCTGCAGAGGGAGGGGTGTGGGGTCTCCTTCAGCACCAGAGGACTCCCATTTGGTATGGAGCTCTGAACTGTATTCCTGACACACACACACACACACACACACACACACACACACATACACACACACACACACACCAGCAGAACCCTTGACTCAGAGTCTGCACCCCACCCTCTGCAACCTCTACCTGCCCCTTCTTGTTGCCTCCCTCTCTGGCCCCCACCTCCTCTCTTCCCTTCTCTGTCTCCCTCTCTCTCCCTCTCTGTGTGCAGTTCCCTGGCTACCTCCTGAGCCCTGGCCCTGTGTCCCCAGATCTGTCTTTGGCTTTGGGTCTACGGGTGTCAGACCCCTTGAGCTGGAGGCCACTCCTATTTTTGAGTCCCTGTGTGTCTCTAGTCTTTCTGGCCTCTGAGTGTCTCTCAGTGTCTGTCTTGGATCTTTCTCTCTGCTTCCCTGATGCTTGCGTTCCTCTCTTCTGTCTCTGAGTCTGACTGCCTGTCTCTCTGTTCCACTGCCACTGTCTCTGTTGACTCTGTGTTTTGGTCTCTTGGACACTCCAGGGTGCTAGGACCAGCTCTGCCTTACTAGTCCCATCTGTTGGACTTGGCTTAAATTTACTGAGCCCTGGTGTCCCTGTGTCCATCTCTCACTTTTTGTGTACCCTTCCCCTGCGTCCTGGGATTCCAGGGGTGGGCTGGCTCGGAGGACACAGAGATGAGGTGGGCAGCCGTTTGTGTGGAAGGTGGTCTGTGCCAGCTTAGGAGGCAGTTCCAGCTTTGACTCCAGCACTCTGCTCCTCACAGAACATTCCCCAGGACACCAGGTGCAGGTCACTTCCCTTCCTACTGTGCTGGCCTGACAGGCCTCGAGACTGGGCCCTTCCCCACCCTAATCCTTCTGTTGGGAGCCACTGAAGACTCTGCAAGGGCACTCCAGGTTCCCTTTGGCCAGGTATCTGCATGACATGAGTATTCTGTGAGTAGAGGAATGAGGAGGGGCAGGGGACCTATTGCAGATGTTCTGCCAGAGGGGGCAGGGTGTGCAGAACAGAAAGTCTGAGACCTTTCCCTCTGCATCCTGGACCGGAACTGCCCAGTAGCTCTTTGCACCCCTCAGAAAGGCCTACATGGGTCAATCAGTCAAGAGAGGAGATGGAGGTGGGCTTCACATATGGGAAGGGGTACAGAAAGTATGTGTGTCCCTCTTATAATCCCTCAGGGCACCTGTAACCCTTCTTGTACATAGGAAGCTCTCAATAAAGTCATTGGCTCATATTTTATCAGGTCTCCAAAAAAGTGCCTTAATCAGTGGAACTCACCTCTTTAAATTCTCCTTCTCACCCCACCTCCAATCGCTGACCTCCAGCAAGTCCATATTGGCCCCCAGGACAGTTTGCCCTGCTGAGCCTTCCATGTAGCCCAGAGATCAAGGACCCAGTTGGAATCCCAGTCATTCCAACTCCTCCTCCTCAGTCATTTACCTGGTGTCCCTCCCTGCTCTTCTCCCTGCTTGCCACTCAATGCAACTTGGCCCCCTGTGTGTCTCCCCAATGACAGGCAGTCACTAATGAGCACTGAGCACTAGAAGGGGAGGGTCAAGGGAAGCCTAATGGGTGGGAGGGGATTCCTGAGCCAGTACATAAACAGTTCTGTCAGCATCTGTCAAATATGCCATCTCCCTCCAGCATCCCTGCCTCTTGCCTCCTGGTTCCTGCCATCCGTCTCCCTGCTGAGACTGGGCTCAGGTGCAAATTTACAGAAGCCTAGGCTCATAATGCCTGGTCTGCTCCAGACCCATTTTCTCCAGGACAGTAACAATTCCTGAAGTCTTTCTTTAAAAGCTCCCAAATTCAGGGAATCTGAAGCTGTAGATGGAACCCAAGGAGAAAGAGAAATTTTTCTCTCTGCTCAGTATCTGATCTCAGCCCCTTGTCTCCACTGCACATCCCCAAAAGTAGAGCTTACATCTTCAGGCAATGGCAAAGAGAAAGAAATCTCAGGATGAATGTCCCAGCCTTAAGAAGATCGTGAGTGTCTCCAGACACCACAGAAGATGGTGGGAAAGATGAGGTTAGAGAACCAAAGGTCCCTTTTCCTGATAGACAATTTCCAGCAGGTGGCAAGAGACTCTGCCTGGAGGACTTCAGCAGAACCTTCTCAGTAAAAGACTGCGATGGGCTTGGTGGCCACAAGAGGGTGGCAGAGAAGGGCTCTCCCTGCAGAGCCAGCCCTGGGCCCTGGGTGCTGGGATAGGGCGGGGCTGCCCAGCCTGGGGGAGTCCTTGGCTGCAGCAAGAACCCATGAAATTTCCGAAATGAGGAAACTCCTCTTACAGCCTTCCCACTGGCATCCCTTATTGACTTTGGCCCCTGAAATACATCACCCATCCGGCCCCTTCCCCTTTCTGGTCCCTTGAACTGGGGCTGCCGGCACACAAGGGCCTCCCGGATTTTCCATTATGGTTGTTCAGCGGATGACATCTCAGCTCACATATGTGATGGGATACAGGGTCCACCTGATAACTAGAGCCAGAACTGGAACCCAGGTTTTCTTTATTCTCAAATCAGAGAAATGGTAAGACCACTTGCAAGGATCCCTGCTCCTAAGAGAAAAGCATACTTCGTAGGCCCCAGTGGGAAGGAAGCCTGCTCACAACCGTGTTTAAAAATCTCGTCAAATCTGCACCCTTTGCCATGTGACACATGTTTACATACATGAGAGTGCACACAGGACTGTTTACCACGGGGCACAGACACATACACAACAAACACTGTGTTGTGCACACCCTCAGCACACACACCCCTCTGCCCCGCAGAGTCCCACAGCCCCTGCCCCCTCTTCCTACTTCCTGAGCTGCAAGAGGAACTTCATTCATCATTTGCTCTTTGCCCTGTGTTTCCCAGGATTCCTCAGCTGTAGACAGAAAAGCACGTTCCTGTTCTAATCTTAGTCCTTCCCACCAGAGCCCTGTACATATGGAGGGGGGACCATCCAGGGTCCTCACCTCCCTCTTCCCAGGGAAAAGACCCAGGCTCTTCCAGACCCTTCTCTGCTCTTTGCCCCTCCCATCCCTCTGCTCACCTACCTGCTCCTCCTCCAGATCCTTCTTGCTGTCACTGACCCTCCTTTAACCTCAAAGGTGGGTCTCCTAGGGAGGTGAGCACTGAAAGGAGAGACAAGGAAGGAGAGAAGGGACAGGGAAGAGAACCTAACTGCAGACCTGGGGAGGGCTCTGTCCTATTCCCCCAACCCTCAGCTGGGAACGTCTGGTTTGAGTGTGACCCAGTGCTCTGACTAGCCTTACTTCCTCCCTCTCCTGGGACCTAAAGCTGAGGAAGGTAATACTACCTAGATTGAATGAATTGACTTATTGGAATGGAGCCAGTTGGGGGGGGGTGGAGACATGTGCACACTTGTGAGCTGATGGGCTGATTGTGTGCATGCAGGAGTGCCACATCTATCACTATGCATAGTCCCTCTCACACATGAACTCCATGCCAGTCCACAATCCAGGATTCCTCCATTATAAAACGAGAAGAGAAAAACATGCCATCCTTCCAAACACCTTACTCCAACTTTCATCCCATAGGGGAACCTGAAAAGACAAAACCCGCCCATTTCTTTTTCTCTCCCCATGAGCCGTCCTGTCCACTCTAGTGTTTGTATTTTCCCCTAGACCCTCTGGGTGCAGCCCCCACACACCTTTCCCAGAATGGAAGAAGCAACAGACACAACCTCCTTCTTGCTAAGGACTGAGACAAATGCCACTCACCTTTAGTGGCCTCTCAGGGTGCCCATTCTGCTATACATTCCTGAGGTCAATCCATTCTGATGTCGTCCAATACATAAATGAGCCTATCAGGTAGCAGGGGAAAATTATAAGGAGCCAGAGGAGGGGGCAGGAATTATCTTCACCTTCCCCGAATCAAGTTCCATGGGGCTAGAGCCACACACGGAGCATTACTGTTTAATTCAACTCAGTAAAGTGGGTGGCAGCACACGATGCATGGGGAGAAATGGTACCTCAGAGGGAGGATGCCTGGACACAGCCCCTACCCTGCACCAGAGTCAGACTCCTGGCCAAGATGTCCAAGCAGTGAAGGGGAAACAGAGGGAGAGATGGTCAGGAGAATTCAGGGATTCTCAGCTGAACAATAAAGGCTGTCAGACTGGGTGGGTGCTGGAGGAGGAGGTATCATCATGAGGGCTTATGAGGGACTGGGATTTTGGTGCCTGAAGAGTAAAAGCCTTCAAAGGGACTCTGGATGAGACCAGAAGGACTCTGGCTGATGGAGACAGACACTGCCCCCCATTTTCCCTCCCCAAGATACCAACTCTACAGAAAGAATAACAAGGGCCAGACTGGAGCTCATCTTCCCCATCCCCCAGCACCTGTGAATCCTGAAGACCCAGCGGAGACAGTTCTCCAGTGTGTGACCCCTCTGTCCAAGGTCAGGTCTCCACAGACCCAGTGGGGCAGGGGAGAGGAGGATGTAGGAGAAACTGAGGCAAATTGCCCTCCCTCAGAACCTTCCTCACAGGGTCCTTCTTCTGGACACCTTCCCATCTGCAGGTCTTCTAGCTATATGGTGGCTCTTTCCACCTCCAGTGTCCAGGGAGAACAGCAGTTACACCAGAGAAAGGACTTCCCAGAAGTGTGGAGTAGGAAAGTCTGATGAATCTGGGCTTTTCAGAATAGGCCCAATGGGCTGAGTGTGAGGAGTCCAGGAAGCCTGGGGAAGGGGGGGCAGCTCACTAGACATGGGGGGGGGTAGCTTTCTAAAAGTTGTACAACTGTCAGAAGCAGTGTATCTGAATACACTCTGGGATTTATTGGGAAGTTCTCAGGTCAGATATCACCTCTTCTTGCTTTACTTTCTGATTGTTTCCCTTATAGGACTCTTTTGAGGAAGGAAAATTTGAATAATACATTTGAGACTTGAGGACAGATTTCAATTATCTCTCTCCATCTAGATGTGTCCTTGCCACTTGACTTTCCTCTCAGGCTTCTATGTCTACTTCTAATTGGGAGTAGTTTCAATTCCTAACTGACTACTCCCAGGTCAGTTAGGAATTCAAAGGTTCCCTGAGGAAATCTCCAATGTCAATTAGAATTCTGAGCCTGCTCCCCTCTGAATGCCAACCAGGCCTTCTCCCCTGGGGTCCCAACCCTGCAGTTCTCAGTATAGCCACAAGGCAGCAATGAATGCACAGATGAGCCCAGGCCCAGCCTGGTGCCTCACCAGAGCCAGAACCCCCTCCTTCACCCAGATCTCCACCCACCCATTCTCCTTACCAGGCAGCAGGTCAATCCAAGGGTCTCAGGAAAGAGAAAGCTTGCTGTGAGAACTCAGGCTTTGAGGAAGCCTTCACTCACAGTGAAGGGCTGTGTGAGGAGGAAGTGGAGGAAGGAAAGAGAGGCTGTAAAAAAAACCTGAGAGAAAAGAGGTCTGCAGAGACACAAACAGGAAGCAGATGGTAAGATGCAGTGTGAAGTCCAAGTTGAGAAGTCATAGCCGGACATTCTGCCACTTCCCCCAGCTGGCCCAGCCTCCCGGGGGCTCCAGAGCAGAAGCATCGTGAGTTCTGTTAACTGGGTCAGAGGCAACCAAGACAGGAGGAGGATGCAGACCTGGGGTGAGGCCTAAACCCCAAGAAAACACTAGATACAGACAGGGAAGGGTCTGCACTGCCACCTCCCTCCTTGGGGTGAGACCCGATTGGACATCATTATCCCTGCCAGTCCCAGAACACAGAGAACAGGGAATTCTCCAGTGCAGTCCGACTGGGTGGTCTCAGGCTATGGGCTCATGAGGGATGGTACGTAAGCACATAGGCAGGCTCCCTTCCCTTATCATGAGGTCTTTTTTGACCACTTTCCTTAGGGAGGGGACTCTACCACACGTTCTGGCCAGCTCCCCACCCTGGACCCACTCGTTATGTATGTCCCTCCCTGGTCAGAGCAGCGCCTCTCAATACTTCCAGTGCAAGCACTGACTGAAGGCCTCAGGTCCAGTCTAACCCCCACCTCAGATCCTGAATGCCATCCTCCGTGCCTGGCAGGGCAAGAGGCTCCCACTGCCCAGACTATTCAACCCCCCCACACCCAAGCACTAACAGCCCTCCTCTTCTGGCGTCCCACCTCACCCCACCCAACACCACAGCCTGAAACCTGCTGACGTTTGCACAGATCAAATCACAGACGTCTTCAGCCATGAGTCTTCAGGCCTCCCTGAGACAGCACACACTCACACACACAGATTCACTCATGCACCTGCACACATGCAGATACACACACACACAGATGCACACATACGCCTGCACACATGCAGATATAGATATACATGCAGATGTTCACACTCATACACCTATATACCCTAAAATACACACATGTACACACATATGTTACAAACATTATTACATCTATGAAACACAAAGACATATACTCACAGACATACATTTACAGACAGGCATACACACACAAACTTACACACTTCTGTACACTCATCCAACACATTTGTACACATATACAAAACACTCTATTCATTTCGTTAAGGATCCAGAGCTCAGTCCTACAGATTGGAGATCTAGAATGTCCAGGAGAAAGCATGGGCAAGATAAGACACAGTAGAGGGGACAGAGGGGATGGGTGGGGTGGTGGGGGTGGGACCTCTCCCCCCACTGCCTAGGTGGTCGCCTCAGTTCCTGTCCAGATCAGGCCTTGGTCTGAGTGGAAGTGGCTCCGGAGGTCTTATCCTCACCTTCTTGGGACCCTGCAAGGACCACAAACACCCTTGCTTTCCCTGCCGCCGCCTGCACTCCCTACATTCCTCCCAGGCTCTGACTCTGAACTGCTGTCTTCCCCTCCCCCAGGGGGATCCTCTTCCAGGCCTCCTTGCAGACAACCTCCACCCTGACCATCTCTGAGTTCCCCCTCCTGGTTCCTCCACCTCCCTGCCCTGCCCTGCCCATCCCCCATCCCTCTGACCCCCCCGCACTGCCCACCTCCCATCTTGTCCCCTCCCACCTTCACCAGCTTTCGCCCATCAGCCTGCCTCCCTCCCCTCCTGGCTCACCTCCCCAGACGAACTCACCTCCCAGTAGACTCCTCTTTCCCATTACCTCCATCTCTCCACCAGCTGCATCCTACCATTCTGCGCCATTTCAAGTCAGTCTACACATGCCTTTGCACCTACCCACCCTTCAGAATCTAGGGAGTAGAGCAGGGCTCTGAGCCCAGTGAAAGGAGGGACATTTGCTCCTTTCTGGCTTCCTGCCCTCTGCCTACGGTGTCTTCCTCTCATATATGTGCTGCCAAAGCAAGCACTCTTCTCTCTTCCTCTGGGCAAACTCTGTCGGGTGCTAAGGAGAGCTGAAGAGATGTCTCTCCATCCACGAAGTGACGGGCATGGATGCTCAGAGGAATAGAGTGACCAAGGAAAACCTCCTAGGCAATTCAGTCCCACCTGGGGGAAGCCCTGACCCCTCCTGAGAGGCTTTGAGGAGAGGGGACACCCCACAGCTCACACTGCCCCAGGTTAGAAGGCAGCTCTGGGACCTCAGGAAAGGCCTGATTGTCTGGTCATCCCAAAGCCGCACCGTCTCAGGAGAGGACAGAGGCAAATGGTGACTATTGCCACAGGTAGTCCCACCACCTGCGCCTCCACTCCTGCTGGAGGGAGACTCCCCCTCAGATGTTAGCGCGGGTTTGTGGTGGAGGAAGGAACCTGTACAGCCTCTGCTGCATCTTTTCTCCTCCTCACCAATAACTGAGAGCCCTGCAGACTCCGCATAACTTCACAACCACAGTGCGTGTGCAGGTCAGGACTTAACATCTCCACATGGAAGCCAAAGATTCCCCCAGAGTCTCACCTTGTTTCCTGCCCGCTTGCTTCTTGTGGCCTCCCCTTCCCCACCACACCTCGCTGCACCCCAACACTCATGGGGTCAAGATCTCCCTCTACGAGTTCCTTTTCTCCTTGCTCCCTCCCTGTATCAGGCTGAGGATTCTGCCTCAGAAAACAAGCCCCTCTGTCTGCTCTTGGGAAGTTCTTCCAGTCCTCTCACTTGAATCTTTTTTGACACGATAGCCATCATCCTGTCCCCAGGAAATTGTGGGGCTCTCTCCCAACCTTCCCTTCCCCCACGTCTTCAGGGTCTCCACGGTGTGTCCCAAGTACCTAGGCTCCAGATCCCAGGTTTCCGAAGAGGCTTCTGGGCTCGGAGATCGACCCAGAGGCTGTGGGGTCTGAGGATCTGTGTGGGCGGCAAGGGGAAGGCAGTGGTTCCTGGGGTGAGAATGACCCAAGAATACTTTGAGGCTTGGTCCACACAGTGGGTGTGTAATAAGTGTGACATCTCATTGAGAAGCTGGCCTCAGTGAGGTGAGGGAGAGTAGAGGGGAAGGAATGAGGCTGAACTGGTCTGAAGTGTCTGCTCCCCATTCTCTTCCCTCCCCCTCTGGGTCACCTGGAGAGAATATGCTCTAAGACAGAACTTGAGACTGAGTCCAACCTAAGATGAAGGGGGGTCCTCCCTCCATCCACGTCCACCCAGCCCAGCTCAGGACAACAGGACACTCAACCCCAAGATCTCAGGCCACTGTACCTCACCCCACCAGCTGCACACACCCTCTCTTCTACTGGGGCAGCTAGATCTCTGAGCCTGCCACTAGCACACCAGGCCGAATGCCTGGACTCTAGCAGACTCTTAGGTGATCTCTTGAAGCATCCTGGGCCCCTCCAGTAAGCCCAGTAATCCCGAAGCATTTGTCAGCACCCTTAGCCTGCATGAGTGATTAACTAACCCTTCCTTGTACTCCTAACATAGATCTTGACTTCTTTCCGAGAAAAGAACAGAGCCCTTCTGCACATCATGAAACAGAAACCAGAGTCCCTTGCACAACCTTTTACCCATCGTCAAGAAACCACATCCGCCTGCACTGAGATAACATCTGTAGCTTGTACCAGTCAATCTGCATGTTCCAGAAATGATACACACCACTGTACTTTTTTCTTAAAATTTTTTATGCCTTTATTTTTTGGTTTTGAGAGACACAGACAGAGAGCAAGTGCAGGAGGGGCAGAGACAGAGGGAGACACAGAATCCGAAGCAGGCTCCAGGCTCTGAGCTGTCAGCACAGAGCCCGCGACGCGGTGCTCGAACCGACGGACTGTGAGATCATGTCCTGAGTCGAAGTCGGACACTGCCTACTGAGGCACCCAGGCGCCTCAACCGCTGCTCTTCTTTAACTGAGGAAAGTTGCTAAGCACCTTTAAACTCCTGGGCCAGCCGAAAACCTTAGATCTGTCTTTTGGATAAGAGTCTGCTTCTGGGCAGACCTCCTGAATAAAGCTCATAATCCTTTCCAATTAAAACTCTTCCCTTGAGGGGCACCTGGGGGGGCTCAGCCAGTTCAGCATCTGACTTCATGATCTCAAGGTTGGTGAGTTTGAGCCCGAGTCAAGCTATGTGCTGACAGCTCAGAGCCTGGAGTCTGCTTCGGATTTTGTGTCTCCCTCTCTCTCTGCCTCTTCCCCACTGGTGCTCTGCCTCTCTCTCTCTCTCTCTCTCTCTCTCTCTCTCTCAGAAATAAATAAAAATTAAAAATAAATTTTTTAAAAAGCCTCTTTTCTTGAGTATTAGCAATTGGAGTGGTGGGCAGATGCACTTGGGTTAAAGTAAAGAAACTGGTGAGCCAGCCAGTAAAGCCAACATCCCTGTGGCATCCATCCAGTTCCCCTGACTCCCAAGTTGGAGCACCTGGTCTGTACCAGGCCAGGGCTTCCCCCTAATCACCTGGGCTAGTAACTTGGACTACAGCAGGAGGTTAGCTTCTCCAGGCTAGTTACTCTAGGGGAGAGATTCTGAGGCATCTGTTCCTGCAGCCACCCAGACTTTCTGTCTAGGAGAAACTCCCTCCTGATTCCTCACTGAAACTGACTGCCACGTTTGCTTTTTGGTTGGAGTGGAGAGAAAGGGGCATGTGGGGAAGCTAGGAGGCTTTAGGACCAGGTAAGTATCTCTGAGTGCGTATATACGCAATTTTCTCAAGTGTGAAGCATTGTGTGCTGTTGTTTTCCTGTCCATGCTTTTCCCATTAGAAAGCCTCAGCTTTCCTGAGAAACTAACAGGGATGTGACTAATGTTCAATTTATTTGGAAGGTGGAACAGATCTGTTTTGGTGTGTGTGTGTGGGGGGGTGGTTTAAATGTGTAGAGAATATGAAGTTCCATCTCTATCCCAGCAGTTAGTCCACTGGACTGAAACTTTAATACATGGAAGGAATATACACAGGAACCTATGACTAAGACAGAGATCATTTTTATTGTGGCATCACCTTGTCATGTATGTTAGGTTCAGAGGAAAATGTCCATGAAATGGGTCTCTTGAGTCTTTCCTCCAACTGAGCTGTTTGCAAATAGACAGTTTGGGTTTGGC